GGATCCGGACTGCCAAATCAGAGTCCAGATCAACAATGAAGTTCGAATAAACTGTGAGACCGGAAAAGATGGCAAAAACCTAACACCAGGAGGGTTCAGCCTTGACCGAGCCACCTCTGGGTGGCTCGGTGGCCGAGCCACCAGATCTGGGCCCAGATCTGGGCCCAGATCTGAGCCCAGATCTGGATTGAGATGCCTATAAATAGAGAGCCGAGCCACCTAGGTGAGCCACCTAGGTGGCCGAGCCACCCAGATCTGGGCCCAGATCTGAGCCCAGATCTGATTTGAGAGGCCTATAAATAGAGAAGGAGGGCTCATTGTTTAAGGGTTGGACTTTTGGGGGAACTTTTGAGGTGAAACTCTGCCGGATTGAGAACTGAACTTCAGAGTTTTGGAGATTTGAAGACTCAGACTTTTCAGATCTGGTTCTTGGCGATCATCCACGTCAAACAAGGCAGGAGTTTGAGAGAGATCAGATCTGAGATCCACACGGTTATCCTCCGGATCAAAACTTGGTTTTTGATCCCGAGAAGAGTATCGATTTCGCTTGGTCGATTTCGATTACTAAAGGCTATTATTTCCTTGGTGAAATAGTACTCCCGGCTGTTATTTTCTTCATGAAATAACACCCGTCATACCATGTAGATCCGACCGGATCAAGATCGCGGTGGTCCACGGATTAACCCCGGCGGAGGCAAAGAACCCACACAAGCAAGAGACCGCAAAATAGGATCTTGCGATTTGTTCGAGAAAAGGAAAGTTGTAATTTTTCTTTCTTTCTTTGATTTTGTTTTAACCGGATCTTATAAAAAGACCGGATCTTTTGTAACCGATAAATAGTTGCATAAGGAAACAATGACTTCAATGAAAATGATTTTCCCCGCGAACAGGCCTTTCTGGAAGTCTAATGCACAGCGAGACAAACTTCTTGCTTGCATTCACTAGTCTCTTCGCTCGCGTCACCATCCCCAAGCTTGTCTCCTTCGGAAGAGATGCCGAACGAAATATGAACTTTACACCATCCTTAGTGAAGGTGTACTTCTGAGCCCGCCTCTCGTATATCGCATATATATCCCATAAGTATGGATTGCCCACTATAATCTGAAAAACATCTAATGGAACAACGTCGTACATGACCTCGTCAATATACGACTCGTGGAGCACAAATCTGACAGTGCATTGATCAACTACAAATAGTTTCTCCTCCTGAATCCACCCCAATGGATAGGGCTCGGATACTTGACCGTCTTCAAACCCAGCTTCTGTACCAATGCCTCAGATATCAAATTCTTCTCGCTGCCCGAATCAACAATGGCATTAACCAAACTGGTCTTCACTTGCAACTTAAGAACAAAGAGTTGCTCTCTCGGGTCGTCGTCCTCTTTCGTGGTCTGCTTCCCCGTCATAAGGTTGAGACTGTTGTTGGGCTCTGCCATCCCCGGGACTTCTTTCGGACCTTGAGCTATCATGTATGCCTTTTTCTCCTCCTTCTTCTTCAACCCTCTTGGCTTGAGATGAGGATACTTCTTCCAGCACCGATCAGCTGTGTGCCCTGTCTTCTCGTAGTGACTACAAATCAGTCCTGCTTTCCCTGGATCACCCTTCTTCTTCTCCTCCTTAGATTGGGTTCCACTAGACTCGCCTCCCGTCTATTTGGAGTCTCCCTTAGCCTCGTTGCCCTTCTTTTGCTTGCCCTCGAGGGCAATAGCCTTCACATTCGCCTCTGCAATTGATTCCACCGTGAATAGCTTCATCTCCTTTCGGATGTAATCGCTCAATCCCACCATATACTTCATAACCACAGAATATTCCTCTGTCGTAATGTTGAGGACCATCACTTGCTGCTGGAACTCCGTAGTGTATTTTTGAATGGTTTGATTGACCCTTTGGCGCAAGCCGTACCACTTGTACCAACGCTCTTCAAGGAATCCCACAGGATAGAACTGCTTTCTCATTAACTCCTTGAACTTGTTCCACGACACCGTCTTCTTCTCCTGCTTGCAGTAGGATTTCCACCATATCAACGCATGCCCTAAAAGCTTCAAAGTCGCGAACACAATCTTCTCTTTCAATGAATAGCCATAAAGAGTAAAATACATCTCCATCCGCTCGATCCAGTCATCAAGCCTCTCGATGTCAACACCGCCATCACAAACAGGAATCTCCACCTTGAAGTCAATCTTCAGGTTTTGATAAGAATTCTTACCCCCTTGATGCAATGTAGTCTAAACGGTCTCCTCCTCCTTGTCGAAATCTGAATCTACTCTCTCCACATCGGACTCAATAATTTTCTTCGAAGAAGATTCAACTTGTTTGCCACCTCCATGGATAAGACTGACGAGTTATGTGAAAGTCGAACCTATCGTATCGATCTGCTTCTCTAATGCATCAATCCTCGCTGAATTGTCTCTTTCAGCCATCTTCTTCTTCCTTAAAACCTGAATTCCTTCTAATGAAATAAGGATCTCGCCAAGCTTCTTGTAGTGGGATCGAGTAAGGACCATACACAGGATGCCCCTTCACCGGATCTGATGCTCTGATAACAACTTGATACGAGTTTTTGTGGGAGCACCTTTGATCGCAGAATTATCAAAGGTGGGTTGAGAAGAGGATGACAGAAACACAAGCACAATTCAATATATGGCGAAGGAAATTACCGTCTCTAGATTATGAGTATGAAAAGATTACAATCCCTCTCTCACAATCTCACTAGAATCGAGAACAACCTCTCAATCCTCTCTAAACCCTAATACAAAGATTAGAATCTCTCTTTGAATCTATCTGATTGTTTAGAAACCCTAAAACAATCCTTTATATAGATGTACAAACGTGGATGGCAATTTGGTAAGTAACCAGACCCAAAACCAACAGGATTTCGTGTGAAAAGAAACCCAAACAAACCAGGAAACCATCAATGAGTCGACTCATGACTGAGATGAGTCGACTTGTTAGAAACTAGACAAAACTCAAAAACCAGCGATGAGTCAACTCATGACAGTCATGAGTCGACTCAACCTGATGAGTCGACTCATGACTGTTATGAGTCGACTCACAGGCAGAAAGCTGGATACTTCGATTCTTCTGCTCGTCGTCTCGTTCCATGCTTCCTCCTGCGTTCCCTTGTACTGTTTGACACCTCTATTCTCATGTTATCATGAGAATCATCTATCCTCAAGCTCCCATGAGGATCGGTAAGTTCCGAAGAGAAGATACACCCGTATCACTTCTCTATAGAAAAAGTAATTAGGAAGGGAGTTTAAAGAGAGAGAAAAAGTAATTAGGAAACAAAGTGAGTGATTTGGGGAGGGATTTAGGGAGAGAATTAGGGAGTGAGATTTTAGTGGAGGGATTTTGGGAGATATTTAATTAAGTGGGGAGATATTTATAAAAAATATCTTTCCCTTAAATCTCTCACGTGAAAGAAGAAAAACAAAAGGAGAAAGATGAAGTTGGGCCTTCTAGATTCCAAAACACCCATGGGCCTTACATAGTTTTGTTTACTTATTTATTTATTTGTTCAATTCAAAAACAGATGGGCCTCCTATATAATTGATTAGTATAAGAAAATTGGATTATTACATCCTACCCACCTAAGAAAAAGAAAATTTCGTCCTCAAAATTTATTCGACCAATATAAGAACTAAAGGTCACCGGTAGCAAAGAGATGTGGATAGTGATGACGAATGTCGTCCTCTCACTCCCAGGTTGCCTCACCAGGTCCATGATGTCCCCAAGATACTAAGATAAGTGGGATAGTTCTGTTCTTGAGGACCTTCTCCTGTCGATCCAAGATCCTCATCGGTCGCTCCTCATATGATAAATTTGTGGACCTTCTCCTGTCGATCCAAGATCCTCATCGGTCGCTCCTCATATGATAAATTTGTCCCAACCTGAAGCTCTGCGATGTCTAGGACGTGGGTCTCTCATCGGTCGCTCCTCATATGATAAATTTGTCCCAACCTGAAGCTCTGCGATGTCTAGGACGTGGGTCTCTTCTCACAAATATCGTCGAAGTTGTGATACGTAAAACACATCATGCACTCCCTCCAATGATGGGGGCAAAGCTAGCTGGTATGCCACCTCTCCTACTCTCTCTAATACCTCAAAAGGACCAATGAAACGTGGACTAAGCTTCCCGCTGCTGCCAAATCTGATAACTCCTCTAGTTGGGGATATCCTCAAGAAAACATGCTCTCCAACCTGAAACTGTAGAGGCCTCCTCTTAGCATCAGCCCAGCTCTTTTGTCTATCCTGAGCTAATTTAAGGCGCTCCCGTATTGTATTTATCTTATCTACTGTCTGTACTATCATCTCAGGACCTAGCAAATGCTGCTATCCTAAGTCATCCCAACGGGTAGGAGATCTACATTTTCTCCCATATAAAGCCTCATAAGTTGCCATCTGAATGCTAGCCTGATAACTATTATTATACGAAAACTCCACCAAGTTAAGTGGTCTTCTCAAGAGCCCTTGAAATCCAGCATTATGCATGCCCGTAACATGTCCTCTAGAATCTGTATAGTCCTCTCTGACTATCCATCTGTCTGAGGGTGGTAAGCCATGCTATAACTCAGTCTAGTCCCAAGACACTGCTGCAAGCTCCTCCAAAAGTGTGATAAAAATTGTGTGTCTCTATCAGAAACAATGCTAACAGGTACCCCATGCAAACATACTATATCCCTCATGTACAGCTCTGCTAAACTCTCTGTCGTTTGTCCAACTCAAAATGGTATGAAGCGAGCCGACTTGGTGAGTCGGTCTACTACTATCCATATAACGTTATTTCCCTTCTGGCTCCTCAGTAGAGCTGTAACAAAATCCATTATAATATGTTCCCATTTCCACTCGGGTATAGGAAGGGGTTGCAATAACCCGACTATCCTCTGATGCTCAGCCTTCACCTGTTAACATGTTAGGCATTTTGACACAAATCGGGCTATCTCCATCTTCATTCCTAGCCACCAGTAATATTCTCTCAGGTCCCGATACATCTTTGTGCATCATGGATGAATAGAAAGCACTGAACTGTGTGCCTCCTCCAACAGCTCTCTTCTAACATCGCCCTTAGGCACACACAACCTACCACGGAATCGCAAGGATCCATCCTCATGCATCTGTAGATTAGTTCTCTCTCTAGACTCCACTTGTTTCTTGAATTTTTTGTACCGAGCATCCTCGAACTGGGAAGCCTTGATCCGGTCCACCAGAGTTGAATGTAAATGCAAACTCATTAATTGTCTCCCTACTCCAGGCAATATAATCTCCATGTTCATCCTCCAGAACTCAGCTAGCAACTCCCACTGTCTGGTGAGTCTCATCGCCACAGGCTTCCTGCTCAAATGATCTGGCAATTCATTAACTCATCCTGGATGATATTGTAAATCAAGATCATAATTTGCCATAAGCTCTAACCATCTGCGTTGTCTCATGTTGAGTTCCTTCTGAGTGAAGATATACTTCAAACTTTTGTGATCTGTGTACACCTCCACTCTCTGCCCTAAAAGATAGTGCCGCCATAGCTTTAATGCAAAAATAACCACCGCTAATTCCAGATTATGAACTGGGTAATTCCTCTCATGCGTCTTTAGCTGTCTAGACGCATAATCTACTACCTTTCCCTGTTGCATCAAAACACAACCTAAACCCAAACTAGAAGCATTTGTGTGCACTACAAATCCTTCTGACTCATCTGGGATTGATAAAACAGGTGCTGACGTCAACTTCTTCTTTAACTCCTCAAATGCTGTTTGACACTCTGGAGCCCACACAAACTTGACCTCCTTCTGAGTCAGCCTAGTAAGTGGTCCTGCAATTTTAGAAAAATCCTTTATAAATTTCCTATAGTATCCAGCCATCCCCAAGAAACTTCACACTTTTATCATAGATGTAGGCAGATCTAATCTCAACACCGCGTCAATCTTCTTTGGGTCCACAGAGATACCTGCTCCTGAAATCACATGCCCCATGAATGATACTTGCTCCAGCCAAAACTCACACTTGTTTAATTTTCCATAAAGCTTCTCCTTCCGTAGGATTTCCAACACCGTCCTTAGATGCTCTGCATGATCTTCCTTGGTCTTTGAGTATACAAGAATGTCATCAATGAACACCACCACAAACTAGTCAAGATACTGGGAAAACACCTTGTTCATCAAGCTTATAAATGTAGATGGAGAATTTGTCACTCCGAACGGCATCACCAAAAACTCATAGTGCCCGTACCATGTATGGAATGCGGTCTTGGGTATGTTTTCCTTCTTCACCTTCAACTAATGATAACCTGACTTAAGGTCTAGCTTAGAAAACACCCGAGCTTCTCCAAGCTGATCAAAAAGGTCATCAATCCTGGGAATTGGGTATTTATTTTTTATGGTAACCCGATTCAATTCCCGGTAGTCAATACACATTCTTCGGCTACCATCTGGCTTTGGCACTAACACCACAGGTGCTCCCCAAGGTGAAGTACTAAGCTTGATAATTTCTTATCAAGATACTCCTGGACTTGCTTCCGTAGCTCCTCTAAATCTGCTAACGGCTTTCAGTAAGGTAGTTTTGAAATAGGTGCAACTCCTGGAATAATATCGATGATGAACTCTATATCTCGATCTAGTGGCATACCCAGCAACTCATCAGGGAAAATATCAAGGAACTCCTCAACAATTTCTGGTATGGGCTTCTCCTCTACCTTTATATAGGTTAATACTCCATCCATGTCTGCTCGATACTTTGGTTGTTCCATCACTTTGCTACCACTCATGAATTCAAACTCTGGGTGGCCTGGTATCTTGAACATTACGCTTCTAGGTCGGCAGTCGATCATCGCATGGAAGTTGTAGAGCCAATCCATCCCTAAAATAACAAAGAACCCATTAGTGTCAATCATTAACAAGTCTGCAAATAACTTCCTACCACAAACTACCACTGGGCATCTCTTACACTCCCTACTAGACATCAACACCCTGCTACCGGTATGGATATTCCAGTTTGCCTTTAAACTATCACATGGTATAGTGTGTCGTGCAATGAACTGAGCAGATATAAAATAGTGCGATGCACCAGAATCAAATAGGGTAAATGTAGGGACTAAATAAACCAAAATGATACCTGTGACTACGTCTCGAGATGCATCTGCCTGCTCAGCGGTAAGTGTCATAACCTGACCTTGTGTTGCTGCTGCTGAGCTTGCTGACCGTATTGCCTTGGGTGCCTCTGTTGATAAGGTGGCTGATATGGAAGTGGTGGCCTCAATTGTTGTCCACCCTATCTAGTCTAACCTACTGGCACTATCACTCTACTTGAAGTTCCTCCTGAAACTCCCCTACTAGGACAAGTGGTGATCTGATGATCTGCTGCCCCACAGGCTAAGCACAACCCGTTAGCTCACCTGCAGTCCTTCATCAAGTGCCCCAACTTGCTGTAGAAATGGCAGATCATGTTGGTTGGTTGTGGAGTTTGTCTCGAAACCTCTGTCTGCTGGCGCTTGGCTGGTGCTCCTCCCGTCTGAGGCTTCTGCTGGTTACCACCCGAGGTCTGACCTGTAGGGCGCTTGTTTGCCCCTCTCCTCATTGAGTTCATGATCCTAATTAGCTGTTCTGTCTTTCGAGCTGCCTCTAGGACATCTGCATAAGTCTTTATCCCCTTATGACTGTAAATCTGAATCTGGATCTTAAAATTCAGACCCTGCATGAACCTCTGTCGCTTATCCACCTTATTCGATACCATCCGAGGGGCAAATCTGCTGAGCTTGGCAAATTCTGTTGCATACTCATCTACTGTACTAGCTCTCTGCCTCAGCATAACAAACTACCTCTTCATCTTAAGACAAGCTGTCTTTGGAAAAGATGCCTCTAGGAAACTCTCCTGGAATGTCTCCTATGAAATCGGCCTAGGCAGCTTCTCCTCCTCTGCGTCCCACCTTGTCCTGGCTACATTAACGAGCTGTAACTGCACAATATCCACTCGATCTTCATCTGATATCTTAGCTGTCCTCAATAGGTGGTCTATGGTCTGCAACCACATCTCGTCCTCATATCCGCCTTCAGTCCCAGTAAAGTGTTGTGGGTTGAGTGTTTGAAAATCGGACACATTGCCCGACCTTGCAACCTGCCGCTGCTCATCTCTCTGATGATTATGAGATACCAGGTTCCTAATTGCTTCTACAAGATCAGCTTGGTCAACTTGGTGTCCCTCAGGGACAACTGTAGTAGGGGCTCGACGGGTTGGGGCCATAGCGATCACCTGTAAGGAGAGGGGTCGAGATTAGGACTTGAGAATCAGAGAAATGGGAGTCACGGTCATATTTCCGGAAAGGAAAAACTCATTCTATACATGCTCTATTTTTGGCTCAATCTTAGTTTCTACTTCTATATAGGATGAGACAACAATTCCTAAACCTGGCTCTTATACCAATAAAACCTTGTCATACCCCAATTCCAAAATGTAATAGTTTAGAACATGACTCGGCCGGCAATGCAACCATATGGTCGCATTCACGCCTCTAGATCATCTTGTATACAGATATAAAGCCAAAACAATACCAAAGAGCATGTACCCAAGATAACAAAAGAAAACGGATAGATAAAGAAATATCTAAAATTTCAGAGGTCTATGAAAAGTCCACAACTATCCAAAACGGAAGAAAAGAAAACATTCATAGTCTAAAGATCCACACGAGTTTTTAGGAAAGTCTCAATCAAATAACTACCTAAAACAAGTGAAATGAAGAACCGAAAGGAATGAACGGTGATCACTGCCATTGAGCCTTCCCCTCGAAATACTCATGATCCTGAGAAGAAAGAACAGTCCCCGAGTCTGGGGCATGCAAACCCCAAGGGAGTCAGAAAACTCCCAACAAGCATGTAAAATAAAGGAAATGTGCGTGTGTAAGTGTAATGTGGCATGGATAAAGAAAAAAATAAGAATGAAATTAAAGATGATAAAAAAATGCTAATAATAGATATCAAACAAGGTCAAATCATAAAACACACAAGCACATTATTATTATTTTAAACGTTATTTGAATTAGAGAAGAATATTTTTATGTATATAAATCAGTTTCCCGTAAACCGTCCTGGGAACACGGCTTCAAGTCAGGATGGGCCCTTATTTCATATATATATATACCAGGATATCAAGAATGCGCACTAGCCCGCTTATATACATGTTATATTACCCGTCCAATTCCCCTTTATTAACCCAATGTTTGTCTGTTTAATCTAAGTAACTGTGCATGAAATGTTGTGCACTAACCATAGAGTTACCGTGGAACGGCTTCCGTAAAACTATAAAAAATAACTGTGACCCAGAACTTGTCCAATCAAATGGATGCATTGTCTAGTCGATGCTATAATAATAATAATAGCCAAGGAAAAAAAATCTCATATCAGGATATCGATATCGAGCGCATAGTCATGCTATGAAAACACGCTTATAAATCATATTTTTGACGGGCATAGTCATGCTATGAAAACACGCTTATAAATCATATTTTTGACGGAAGTCGTCTTCATGCACAGTCTCTCCTATTGAAGACAACTAGGTGATCAAGTAAATCATATTTTTGACGGAAGTCGTCTTCATGCACAGTCTCTCCTATTGAAGACAACTAGGTGATCAAGAAACAATTTTTTTTCATAAAGTCACGCATGTCAAACATGGTATGATATAAAGAAAGAATGAAATCTAAAACAACTAAACATAGAGGAAATTATCATATATAATTATTTCGAGGCTAAAATTTTTTTTATGGATAACTAAAAACAAAATAGTTAAATATCTACCTCAGACTTGTGTAAGGTAGGTTTTTGTATAAAAGCATTTACTTGTTAAATAATGGAAATAATTAAAGTTGTTAAAACATCTTGTATTACATATTGTTATATAAACTGTTTATATAATATACTAAAAACTCTATTCATATCACAAAGATACTATTGAAAATTTATGTTACAAAAACTATTTTACAGGTATATAGAGGTATATATATACATCGAAATATAATAATCCCACAATGAGGAATAAAAACTATAGGAATGCAGAATTGTATATGATTATATAGTGAAGGAAAAAAGAGAAGAATCGTGGAAGCAACATGTTATAGAGTTTTATTTATTTACAGTCTATGCCATTAACAAACCAATCATATAAACAACAGATTATACAATTAACTTATTTACAACTCATACCATTAACTCATTTACAGCTCATGCCATTAACTTATTTACAACTCATGCCATCAACTTATTTATAGTTCATGCCATCAACTAATTTATAGCTCATGCCATTAACTTATTTACAACTCATGCCATCAACTTATTTACAGCTCATGCCATTAACTTATTTACTACGAATGCCATCCATCTATTTACAATGAAAACTTACCTCTACATGATTTATGAAATATATAATGAATGGCTAAGTTTATAAATCAAGGAAAAACCCAACAAAAGTTTCAACTAAGAAAATCTTAAGATACAGAAAAAAAACGTTGACCTGAAGATAAAAATTTAGAGTGAAAAAAAGAAAGTAATTTGAGGAAAGATGCTTGCCAATTAGTTGGAAGAAGATTATGAACCCCAAATCCAAAAGAGAATCCAAGCCTCATCTCCTTCCCTCTTCTCCTTTCTCTTTCTCTCTTCTCTTTTCTTATTCCCGTGATCTCTCTCTCTTCATTTTGTTACCGTGAGAAATTTTTTGGAGTGAGATTTTAGTGGAGGGATTTAGGGATTTAGGGAGAGAATTAGGGAGTGAGATTTTAGTGGAGGGATTTTGTGAGATATTTAGTTAAGTGGGGAGATATTTACAAAAATATCTTTCCCTCAAATCTCTCACGTGAAAGAAGAAAAACAAAAGGGGAAAATAAAGTTGGGCCTTCTAGATTCCAAAACACTCATGGGCCTTATATAGTTTTGTTTATATATTTATTTATTTTTCAATTCAAAAACAGATGAGCCTTCTATATAATTGATTAGTATAAGAAAATTGGATTATTATAGTAATCCATACAAGTCAAGACTCTCACTGTGATTTGTATTCCTACTCTCACTGTCTACCTGGTCAAACCTTTCTACAGTTAAGGCCGCAACCAAAATCCCCTCTCGATTCCTCCAATGAACGAGAGGTCCACGAATCGAGCGATCAAATATTCCTACAGTTTGGATCATCTCAAAACTCCCACTTGATCAAACCTTCCTATAGTTAGGGCTAAAATCATAATTCACTCTCGATAAACGAGAAATTCATCTTTAGTTCGGTAATCAAACCTTCCGACAGTTACTCGATAAACGAGAAATTCATCTTTAGTTCGGTAATCAAACCTTCCGACAGTTAGGATTATCCGAATCTTTTCGATTCTCGGAGTGGAGATCCCACTCTTAGTTTCACCTTCTCGGATTCTTGAAGTAGAAATCCCACTTTGAGTTTTCTTTGTAACTTGAGATAGAATATAAAATTCTTCCTTTCCGGTATCGGGTTTGTCTTTGCGCCAAGAGAAAACACCATCCTTCAACTTCAAAATCCATGCTTCACACGCATGGGAATTTTATCCTGAATCTTAAGTAGGGATAAGTCAACGCCTAACACGTGTTGCCGGTTTAGTCTTTCACCAAATAAAAAAGACACCAGAATCCAAGTCTGGGAAATTTTGTTCCGAAACCTAAGTAGGGATAAGTCAGCGCCTAACACGCGTTACCGGTTAGTCCTTAACCGTAAAAAGGATAAATGCTAACATATTCGATATTATGGCAGGTTGTTATTAATAACACCATAATCGATGCCTCACATGTACGAGGACTTTTATCCTGAATCCTAAGTAGAGATAAGTCAAAGCCTGACACGCGTTGCCAGTTTAGTCTTTCACCGAGTGAAGAAGACACCAGAATCTAAATCTGGGGAGTTTTATCCTGAAGCCTAAGTAGGGATAAGTCAGCGCCTAACACGCATTATCAGTTAGTTCTTAACCGTAAAAAGGACAAAAGCCCACATATTCGACATTGTGACAGGTTGTTATTAATAACACCATAATTCGTGCCTCACACATACGGGGAATTTTATCCCGGATCCTAAGTAAGAATAAGTCAGCGCCTAACACGCGTTGCCATTTTAGTCTTTCACCAATTAAAGAAGACACTAGAATCTAAGTCTGTGGACTTTTAT